AAAATCCTGAAAGCCTTTGTACTTTGAGAAGAGTGTGGATTCCAGTTCATAAACTTAATTTGTAGAGAGTTTAGAATGCTCGAATCCATTGATTGCTGTTGTGGAAGAGAGATGGAGAGCTTATAAAAAGGAAAATTAATACCTGGATCAAATGCTTAAGGGGGGGGGGAATGTGCTTTTTTTTCAGTGGTCCTTGCTTATCTAGTTGGTGCTGATGGTCAGCACACTCATCTTTCAGATCATCCTAATTCTGTACCGACCACAACCCAATTGCACTCATTTGTAAACCTTCTTTACCACCACTTCTCCACTGGTGGAACAATCATAATAATGCAATGCTGAATTCCACCCAAAACTTAGAAATTGCAGAATCTTACCAATTTTTGTGTGTATCCATTCTCCTAATGGATAGACATTCTCCTAACGGATAGACTTATTTTGTTGTGGAGACAACAGCTATCTCAGCTGGCAAGCTCTTAAGGTTGTGATCCTGTTGACAGTATGGGATGGGCCCTTCTTTAGATAAATTCTAAGCCATTCAGGTCTTTAGAAGTCAAATTAATTTGAAAATTAATGACCCCGTATAGTCTGGTCTGTTGAAACTCTGTTCACTGCATTTTTGCACCAACTGCAGCCTCCAAACCGTATTCAAGGGCAGCTCCATGTAAAACAAATGGCAATGGTCGAAATAGGAGGTTACTAGAACATGGGTAACTACAGTCAGGCTTTCCCCTGTCCCAGGATGGCTGTAACTGGCAAACCAACTAGAGGTAGGATAAATCATTGTTTCTCATTGTCCAAAAGAACTTCCTGGCTTCTTTCTTTAACTCCAGAGGTTGAAACTCCATTTCTACATCCTGCTACAACCTAGCAAGTCATTATTTTTCTTTATAACTGTGAGAATACATGGTGGAGATTTCAGATTTCTTCCCATGGATATCCATAATAGGTAAGGAGGAGTTTGCTGCTTAGAACTAGTCTTTGCCAGCCTAATTGGATCCAGCCCACATTTCTCTGCAATCTGCGGAAGAACTTGCTGCTGAGATGTAGCATTTGCCCAGCTCAGTTCAACCAAGCCAACATTGTGGGATGGATTTTTTGCTGGAGAGCCAATGACCACCCAGCTAACATTAAACCTAGGTTTACCTGCTGTTTGCAGAACACGTTACTAATGAGAACCAGCATTTTCAACCCAAAGATTCCCCCTTCCCCCCTTTTTTTATCAAGGGACTGAGTCAACCCATCCAAAATGCAATTCTCCAGGTGAGACTTGCCTGTTTTCCCCACCTGTGTAATGAATGCAGGTCTAATCATTCCCAATATGCTAAAGCAGAAACAATAGTGCATTTGTGCCTGTACCAAATGCAACCTTGAGAATACATTCAGACTAATTTTAGCCGATTCACGCTAGCTCCTCTTAATGATGAGAGGGTTTTCTAATTTTTGAAAGCGTAGATGATTTTGATGCATACCAATCAGGATGAGTCTGTCTGCTAACACAGCTTGACTGTCTGTTGCAGGAGCTTTCTCAGGAGAACAGAACATACCTGCTTCTGCCATACACTGAGAGGAGTAATGAGAGAGCGAGGAACAGCAAAGAATAGTTCATCACTGCTATGAATACCTCCAATTACTCCTGCCATTCTGTGTGTCGAGGAGTTTTCTGTTAGGGAAGAACGGGGCAGCCCAAGGGAGGCGCAAGCTACATATTACACACCACCTGCAATTTAAAGCTAGGAGGTTGTCAGGGAGCAATGAATGATGAAAGTTACAGGAAAGTGCCATGCAATCATGTGCATATTTGCCCAAGCTGCATACACACATCGTTTTATTCTAGAATCTATGGCGACTCAGAACGCAGTCCACAAACAACACAAATCTGTTACATATTTTGCATTCCTCAGAAAAGAACCTCAAGGAACAATTCATGCCCGCTGCCTTGTAGGACGTCTTTGGGTGAAGTCAGGGCTAAGGAGTAAACCTTACACAAATCAAGGGTGGGGTTCTTAAGGCAGTTGGATGGCATCTTGTATGTCTCCTTCCAGCAACTCCTGCAACCAAGCTGGTGTCAAATGTATTCTTTTCCTTTCCTTTGAACGACATCAGCGAGAAGGCGAGGACCCTGATACACACGACCCAGGCTTGTGCCCCAGAGACCTCCTAGAGACTTGGATGCTGCAAATGCAGCATGTCCAATTGAAAACAGGTGTCGACTATCCTGGAAATGTGGTGTGTGTGTTCACCTCTACCCAATGATGTTGTGGGTGGGTGTGATTGGGCTATGATTGGAAGATAGAGAGGCAAGGTTGTAAGAGTGTTTATGTCACTGCAGTCTATTTAAAGATTACTCAGGTCTTGATTCAAGGGGTGCTGTGTGGATAAATAATAATAATAATAAATTTTATTTATACCCCGCCCTCCCCAGCCAAGACTGGGCTCAGGGCAGCTAACAACCAATAATAAAAACAAGTTGATTGAAATACAACTTAAAAAACAAGATTAAAATAAAACATTAAAACATTAAAATGCAGCATCACAGGAGGAGAAAGCAAAAAAAGAAAAGGGGGGGAGGGAATCAAATTGATAAAGAGATCCAGATCCTACTGAAGTCCATGGGACTTAAGTTCTTCTGTTTTGAGTGTCCTCTATATTTACCATACATAAGAAGCAACTTGTTTATGCATTGCTGCTTGCCATCTAGTGTTTTTGTTTTTCTGTGCCCTAGTCCATCTTCTGTTTCAAACACCCCCAGTAACCTTGGTTAGCTTTAGGGGGGGGGAGCCTTTGTCTCCATGCTTTGCAAAATTGCAAAGGCAGATGCAAAGAGAGAATTCCTCCTCCATGAGAAGAAAATAAACCCTGATGAATAGTATTTGCATAACTGAGATGGAAAACCTTAAAGACTAGTCAGAAAGCTCTGGCTTTGTTTAGAAGCATCCTTATCACACTTCTAAGTTCTTTCTTCTGCCCAAATGGTTTTGTCCACATGGCCTGTAGGGCTGTGTGGGTGAGGGGAGATGTGTGCAAAGAGAGAAGCAGCTGTTGTTGTGCGGCTGTACATGTCAGGGACCGTGCTGAGGAGGGCTGCACAGATGAGGAATGGTGGGAGCCTCCCCCTCCCCCTGCTCCTGATCGGGATCCTGAATCTTCCCAGGAGCAGTGGGACAGTGTAGATTTGGAACAGTGGTTCGCAGAGGGACATAGTTCAGAAGGCAAAAGTTGGGAAGAACTGGGTGGTGAACAGCTAGGAGAAGAAGAATCAGGAGAGAGAGAGTTAATAGACTCCAGTTTGCTGGTAAACATCCAGCCGATCAGTCCAAGGTCACTGAGATTAGATAAGGTATCTGCACAGAAGGCATAATGGTTGCCAGATCAGTTTGCAAGGCGAGGAAGTGACAGGGGTGACTCGGGGGGGGGGGGTAAACCTTAATTGGGAGCACCTTTACTCCGAGAATGGACTCTTTGTTCTTTCGCTGTGATCATTAAAATCTCTTTAAATGGTAAGAGACTATTTTTGCTTTCTTCTGCTTATCCACAGCCAAAGGGAGGGAGGGAGCCGCTTCCCCAAAACCTGACAGTACGCTAGAACAATGTGGAGAGGCAAACTTTTAATATTTTTAAAAAATGTGTCAAGCATGTTTCAGCACCTCAAAGCACAGACTACATGCCATCTAGCTGGTTTTATAAATTATTGAAACAAAATACATCAGCTGATAAATGCCAAACACCACATTTTTCCATGTATAAGACGCCCCCATGTATAAGTTCCTATTTTAAGGGACTCCAATTTAAGACAATATGGAGATTGCCCCATGTATAAGACGACCCACAGTTTTTCACATAATTTTTAAGTAAAAAAGCCTAGTCTTATACATGGAAAAGTATGGTACATACAAATATATACTATTAGTGGAAACTATGGGATCCATTTTGATGGGGAAACTGACTAAATATACAGTCTTTATGCAGTCCGAAAACAAAAGACTTCTATAAGGACTAGCAACACAAAGCAATTTATGGCAATCCACCAGAAGTTCAAAGCTCTCCAGGACAGATTTCTAGGCAGCAGCATCACTGAGTTTTTACTGCAGTAGAAGGCTTTCCTTGTGCTTCTGCTCCTCTCTTCTTTATAGGTGACAAGCGTTGGTAACGGAATTACATAAATGATAGAATCAAATAGTGCTTTCCTACTTCAGATTAAGGGACATGGGTGGCGCTGTGGGTTAAACCACAGAGCCTAGGACTTGCCGATCAGAAGGTTGGCGGTTCGAATCCCCACGATGGGTGAGCTCCCATTGCTCGGTCCCTGCTCCTGCCAACCTAGCAGTTCAAAAGCACGTCAAAGTGCAAGTAGATAAATAGGTATCGCTCTGGCGGGAAGGTAAACAGCATTTCCGTGTGCTGCTTTGGTTCTCCAGAAGCGACTTAGTCATGCTGGCCACATGCCGGCTCCCTCAGCCAATAAAACGAGATGAGCGCCACAACCCCAGAGTCGGTCACAACTGGACCTAATGGTCAGGGGTCCCTTTACCTTTACTTCAGATTACTCAGCATGTGCCCCACTAAGCCAAGTGCAGCCTGGCTGTCATGTTCAGTGGCCTACAAGATACTTGATAGCCTTCCAGGTTTGGCAGTTCCAAAGGCAGGAAAAATGGAGTACAGTATATATTAGCTCCTGGCAATCAGTGGCTGGTGGGCTCAATGTAACTCAGCAGGTCACAATTTATGTTGCCTTGCAAGCTTTGAAGTGGCCTGTGGTTCTGTGGCAGTGTGGAACTGGAAGTGGCTAAATGGCTGCTATCTCTAAGTTTCTAATTGGTCATTCATTTGTTGTTTTTTTAAAAGTATTAGCTTAAGACCCAGGAATTGACCCACTGAATTCTAGAATGGGGCAGTTATATAGAGATGAGCATATAACTGTCACCCACAGGCAGCCCAACTGTTTTGTTTTTTTAATTAAAAACTAATCCAACTCTCTGTCCTGTCATTCTGGATTTTAGGTTGTACCAGGTGAATTTTGATGTTCCCACCTGCGAAGGCAAACGACGAGAAAAACTCTCGCTAATAGGCGACTTCTCTTCTTCCGCGGAATTCTTCGTCACAATTGCAGTCTTTGCCTTCCTCTACTCCTTGGCCGCAACGGTGGTTTACATTTTCTTCCAGAACAAATACCGTGAAAACAACAGGGGCCCTTTGATTGTAAGTGTTCGTTACATGGACAGCTTTGTTCCTATTTATCGATTCATTTGTTTAGCCTCTCGCTTTGAATACCCTCTGTTGGGTCAGTCTGAGTTCTGGTGTAGTATTGTTTTTCTTTGACACCAGGGTTGAATGAAATATTCAGTCGTCTGACATCATTGCTGAACACAGCAATGAAGATTGCAGAGGAGATGGATGGATGGATGGATGGATGGATGGGACTCTATCAGTCAGGACCACAATGTATGCTCTTCAGCATATAATCCCTGCTGCATATAATATTATGTCCTTATTTTATTTTCATTTACGGCTTTGCACAAACTTCACCCTTTTCATTTTCAAACCTTTCCCTCTAATTTTTTTATCAGAACTAATTTTCCATCCAGATCCTTCTGGATCCTATACAGTGGTACCTCAGGTTAAGTACTTAATTCATTCTGGAGGTCTGTTCTTAACCTGAAACTGTTCTTAATCTGAAGCACCACTTTAGCTAATGGGGCCTCCTGCTGCTGCCGCGCCGCCGGAGCCCGATTTCTGTTCTCATCCTGAAGCAAAGTTCTTAACCTGAAGCACTATTTCTGGGTTAGCGGAGTCTGTAACCTGAAGCGTGTGTAACCTGAAGCATATGTAACCCGAGGTACCACTGTATCAACCTTCCTAATCTTTCACCTAAGCACGCAGGACCCCTGCTTGGATAGGGAGATGTGATTTTCTTCCCCCACCCCTTTAACCATTTGCTCAAATTACCTTATGACTTGGAATTCAGCAACAGTTTAACTAGTTTGCACAGATGAAAGTTCTTAGGCAGAGATGAAGAACCTCAGAGATGATGAACCCAGGGGTCCGTTAGACCTGGTCTGGGGCTGTGCCTTGGGCCACATCACTCAGTAACCCTGCTTTGCACCCTCTTTGAGTGCTTCTGCCTGGCTGAATGGGTCCTGGAACTCAGTGCTTTTGCCATCTCTGGATGGAGAGTAGAGGGGGATGTGTGTCGAAACAAGCTTGCTTTTACAGTGGTACCTCGGGTTAAGTACTTAATTCATTCCGGAGGTCTGTTCTTAACCTAAAACTGTTCTTAGCCTGAAGCACCACTTTAGCTAATGGGGCCTACCGCTGGCTCGCGATTTCTGTTCTCATCCTGAAGCAAAGTTCTTAACCCGAGGTACTATTTCTGGGTTAGCGGTGTCTGTAACCTGAAGCGTATGTAACCCAAGGTACCACTGTATTGCTTTGTCCAATTCTGCCTCTGGTGCAACCCACTACTGGCATGTGGTTCCCTATCTCTGTCTAGAATGATGCTACATACAGTTTGGTATTGTCTATCTGGATCCCTTTTAAGGATTACTACTACTACTACTACTACTACTACTACTACTGTTGTTGTTGTTGTTATTTGCAGATTACACCAATCTTTATATTCCCATTTTACTGCCATGTCCCATCTATTGTTTCTGTAATTGCCAATTATTTCACATTTCCCCCCTTTTTTACTCAGTAAATCATTATCTGCATCTCACATTGTACTTTTCATTTTATATAGCACTAACTTATATTTCAGTTATATATTCTTTTTATCTTTTCTGTCTGTTAATGTGGCGTCTGTACAGTTCCATTGCCTGTTTGCTGGGACTGGAACAAATCTTCCAGATGCACTCTACTTTGGTCTGACTCTGGTTCCTCCTGGATCCCACCCCTCGCTTGCCGGAAGGCTAAAATTAGAACCTCTTTTCTCCATCCACCCCACGAATGACTGAAGAAGGAGCTGGCAGGATGTCTGGCAGCACCGCCTTAGTTAATTCCAATGCGAAAAGCTGCAGAGCTGCTGGAATATTAATTAGAAAAGCTATACCCAATATAAAACAAACAGTCCGGAAATGTGCTTTGAGACTGCTTTAATATAGAATACAGTATCAACGCAGAGGCTTTACAACATTAAAATTTCCCCGAAGTAACAAAACTCTTTTGCAACATTTCATTAATTAAAAAAAAAAGTGAAGCTTTGAAAGCAATACTAATGATTACATTGTATCAATTATTCATGAAAAGTTAAACGCCTTTTTCTTCCGCTGAGAATTTAAAACAACCTTTATTTTCATTGTATATTGATTATTCCCTTTCCAGCCAAGTGGTAGCTTTAATAATAATAATAATAATAATAATAATAATAATAATAATATGAGCAGGATTCGGTCTTTTTTTCCCCTAATGAAAAATTCCATTTTCTTTAAATAATCCAGCACAAATATATATATATTGTTTCCCAGGATGCTGTTGGCATGCAATAAATATTTGATGTTAATGAGGATTTTGTGCCTCCTTTAAACCTGCAGATGTCTCAGTTTCCCAGAAGAACTGAGATCCACCGAGATCAATGGGGCATTTGCAGCTGAAGGCTGCAAAAAGGCGAAGGGTTGTCACACACAGATGATGGAGCAAATTTGCTTTCTGATGCGCCAGAGGGTAGGATCCGTGCCCACAGGTTCCAGTTACAGAACAGGGGATTTTTCTGATCATTAGCTGAAACATTAAACATCATACCTGATGGCATGAGCTGTCGGACAAGGAGACAGACTACCTTGGGAAATGGTGGACCCTCCATGATTAGAGGTTTCTAGGCAGAGGCTGGATGACCACCGCCTATGAAGAATGCGGTTGTAGTGGATTTCTTGATTCAGAAGCATACAAGCACTGCCAGTTACTAGACAGATCTGGAGAAAAACAGCGCCTCGTGTACACACCATTTAAAGCAGATAATTTCCCCCCTCCCATAACCCTGAGAACTGGACTTAACACCCCACAGAGCCACTGTTCCCAGCACCCTTAGCAACTGTAGTTCCCAGGATGCTTTGGGGGAAGTCGTGCAATCTAAATGTGCTTTATGTTTATAGTGTGTTGCACAGCCACAGCCAAATGTGTGAAACTGAGACCTACCCTGTTTGCTTGGGAATGTGTGGCCTTACTTCTGAGTAAACAGGGTCCTCGCTGTGAATCTTGGTCATCAGCACATTCTTTTCTTTTTAAATGAAAGTATCCCAAGTGTTACTGAAAGGCTCCATGGCTTGATAGGAGCATGTGCCTCCTTCCACATACATAAATTGAAAGGTAAAAAAAAGTTTGCTGTTTCACTGACCATGTGCAGAGTGCTTTCTATCTCTTCAGCTAGGCATTGACTTCTAAACAAACGTGCCCAGGGAGCTGTGACTGACAGACTTTCCTTAGCAAGGGACGTTAAAAATCCCCACCTATCTTCCAGTTGCAAACTATGAAGAACAAGGTAACAGTGAAATTGGGGGCAAAGGAGCCTTATGTAAAATCATAGTCATACAGTAAACAGCTGGCCACGCCACCATCTGGTGTATACTAAACTTTGCCTCATAGACAAAGTTTGTGATTAAGTTGCTGTCCACTGTAGCCACAGTCCCAGAGACTGGGAAAGGCATTTTTCATGGTGGCAAGTTGTTGCGGTTTTCCAAAAATCCACCTCAGAAAAATGGCCTCTGCTTACACCAGGGATAGAGAAGCCTAAGGGCCACATTTCTTTCTGTGGAACCTCTCAGGGGCCACATGCCAGTGACAGGCAAAGTCCTAGGCAAAAGCGAGCAGAACGATAGACATGTGAATTTGACTTTTGTTCCATAGGCTGGTTTCTTCACCCTCACCTCTACCCTCTATATCCTCTGTTTAGGCCAGCAAGAATCATGATCAGGGTTCATGAATAAAATTACCTCATTCTTTGTGGAGAGAGGGGAGCCTTAATTTGCCCCATTTAGAAGTCTTAAGGAGGATTGTCTATCAATTAGCTCCCATGGAAAGACATCACTGGAATAGGCACACAGACACACTTACAGAGACGTTCTAAAATTAATCTCAGGAAGCATCAATTTGACATGTAGGACTGCCCATAGCAAACCCCATGCTTTAAAAAGAGGAATTGAGTATGTATAAACTCCATAGGAGCAAGCTGTATGGGCACCATTCCCTGCACACTTAATTTTAACAGGGCGGTGTTGTCGAAAGCATATTTCATCATTCAGCAGGCAGCATTCCCTTGCCTGGGTTCCGCTTGACATGTAAAAGACATTCCCAAGTCATGGGCTGCACCTAATCTAAGACGGATGGCCCCCTATCTGAGTTCCCTGACACTATTAGGGCTCCATTATTTTCAGGGCAGATAATCCTGATTAGCAGAGGTTGTGACAGACTCTTAATGCACTGACTCCTCTGCTCTTTTCGGTAATGTCTTTCTAGTCCATAAAGCCTGAACTAGCCACAAGCAGAAAATAAACCATTGTAATAAACCGTACCAAGGTTGTAATGTAATGGTGACATTTTCATTGTCTGCGATTTCTGAAAATAATTAGATGGGCTATCACACGCTGCATAAATCAGTGTTGTGTTTCCATACAGTCTCAGGGGAGAGACAAATTGGATAATCAGTAGCCTGTATAAAGGGAACCTTTTCGTTGATCTGCACTTTCTCCCCCATCTCTGCCACATTTTCTCGAAGGAACTCTGGATGGTGTAGCTGCTTTGCCTCCCTTTTTATCTCCACAATAACCCTGAGAGGTAGGTGAGGTAAAGGAAGTGGCCCAGGATCTGAACTCAGTTCTTCCCAGATGGCGAAACTACACGTTATGCACCACAGCAGGGTGCTGCTCAGAATGACATCCCTCTCTTGCATTGTCTCATTGGGACTGACAGGGAATGGGGCAGGGAGACAACCAGCAGGTGGCGCCAGAGCCAGTTCCTCCTTCCTGCTGAGAGGTACAAAAGCAAGCAAAATTGAAACTAAGCATGAGGTAGATGGAGGCTGGCTGAGGGCATACAGATGTTGGTGGGGCAGTGCCCCCAGTGGTCCCAATGCCTTATGCTCTACCAGCCCCAATGGACATCAGCCACCATTTTCCCTCCCCCCCCCCTGGTAAGTTTACATTTGAGCCACACATCTATGACCCACTTTCGTACGTTACTCTGTTGCTAACATAGCCGTATGCCTGCAATCATTCCCTTTGATTGGAGGCCTTGGTGAGAGTCCTCCAGGCTAGCATTTAAACCCTGCCACAAAGCGCTTTAATGTTTCAATGCTTGTGATTAGCTCCTAAGCTTTAAAACACGAGCTCTGAGGGAAACCGAACTCCGGTCACCGCTCATCAAAGCCCTGTTGAGGCTTTGTCATTTTCGGGCCTGTAATTCTTACGTTTGCCTTCCGTTTGAATGCACACAGAAGGATTGATGTTTTCCTCCACATCCCAGAGAGCGCTGGTTTTCTGTTGGTTCTCCAATGTATGCCGAACGCCAAACCTCCTCCTTACATATGTGTTGGTATGGCTTCTAACCATGATGGCCACAGAAAAGCTGCGTGGTTGGGACTGTGTTGCCCTCCTGCCTTCCCAACGCTATACATCACTGCTGAACTGCAGGCGCTGTGGTGGAGACAATCTGATGTTCCCACCACCGTGTTTGCACCGCACCAGCACCTCACAGAGCTGCCTTGCCCCTCTCCCTTTTGATTACGCAACAACGACACATGATGTTGGGACGACTGGAGAGCACTGATCACCTACATGTGAGGAGACACTGATGCAGGAGTACTTTGAAACCAAAACAATGCAGAAGGCTGTGCCCCATGCCCCTCTGCCCCTTCAGGCATCTCATGAACCTGCACTGTTCCATTTTCTCTTTTCTTTTCGTAGGACTTCATTGTGACGGTGGTGTTTTCGTTCCTGTGGCTCGTGGGCTCCTCTGGTTGGGCTAAAGGGCTCTCTGATGTGAAAGTTGCTACAGACCCCGACGAAGTGCTCTTACTGATGTCGGCTTGCAAGCAGCAGTCAAACAAGTGCATGCCTGTGCGCAGCCCAGTTATGTCTAGTTTGAACACTTCTGTGGTAAGAATTTGCTTTTATGTTATCGAAAGGCAGGCCGGGGGGGGGAGGGGGGAGCATCCATGGAAGAAGATGGATGGTCCTTAGCTATGAGATCAGACAAGAGTTTTGTGTTTTCTATTTCCCTGCCAAACCACTGGAGTCCAACACGCAGCACATCATGACTTCACCTAATTCACAAGGCTCTTCTGTGAAGCATAAACACAAGAGAGGGAGCAATGATAATAATCTGAGCAACCGACTATAGTAAATGACAAACTTCTTACCTGAAGATTAAAAGACTGGGTGCTGTGGCACACTTAACAATCAATATGCATTCATCAAAGTAGCCTGGAGAACAAGCATGCAAAATAACTTGATAATTAGATTATGCAGTATTTGGAGTAAAAGGGAGTTCTTACTTACCTATTCTTATAGATGATTGCCACCGCTACTACTAATGTTACTGTTACTTCCACCAAGGGAGTTGTCATCTGCCTTGCAAAAGAGTTCCTTTTAGAATGGTTTTAACATCTTTGCGATCAGAAAAGGCAACTAGGTAGTGATTCATCGTATCTAATAATGCACACAATAATTAACAGGGGCCACAGGCGTGTAATGCCTCCTGCCAAAGTACGTGAGTCTTCTTTGAATCAGGGACCAGCAGTCCTCTTACTGGAAGAAAGCTGTAGGCAGCCTTTGGTAGATTCCTGTTTACTCCTATGATCTCAGTTTATAAACACTAGGATCAGCTAGATCAATCTTTCATTTGCTTTAATGGGATGACACCCTTGGCCCTTGGTGTAGACCAAAGAGCTTGTAGAAAGAAAAACAAACATGATCTTAATTGCTGGAGTGATCTGTCTGCATCAATAATCCTCTTCAGTCTGAACGCATAAAATGGCAAGTTGGAATTTGCTGACCAAGCCCCATCCCATTGATGCCAAGGTATGTGCAGGCAAACACTTCCTTACCAATGTATGGCCAGGGAGTGCACCCAGGACACACAGTATCATTGAAGGTGCTTGACCTGCACATCGTATCCTTGACCCTCATATCCTATCTTTCTTAAATACTTCAAATGATGATATTATATCCATGTTGTTAATTTCCCTGATAATTCCTTAAATTCTTTTAATTTATACTCTCCTCCCTTTTGTTTTAATAAATTTCTATAAGTTGTCAACCCTTCTATCATATTCTTTTTCTTTACTGCTATAGCTTCCAATGGTGAGAGCCAAAGTGGTGTTTTTACCTCCAATAAATTATTGTATTTATGCCATACTCTATACAGATTTTTCCTAATTATATGATTTGTAAATCCTTTATGAACTTTCACCTTTTCATACCATAAATAAGCGTGCCAGCCAAAAATATTGTAATGACCTTCTGAGTCTACAATATGTGAATTCTGTAATGTCATCCATTCCTTCAACCCACAAAGATAGGATGCCTCATAATATAGTCTCATATCCACGTCTTGATTTACTTCCCATTTAGGTCTTCGGATTCTTGAACTTTATTCTCTGGGCAGGAAACATTTGGTTTGTTTTCAAGGAGACTGGCTGGCATTCTTCAGGCACGAGGCACCCTCAAGACACCATGGAGAAGCAGTCTGGCGGCTTTAACCAAGGTGGCTACAATCAAGATAGCTACGGGCCAACTGGTGGCTATAACCAACAGGGAAGCAGCTTTGGGCAGCAGACCAACTATGGCCAAGTGGATGAATTTGGCCAGCAGCAACAGAGCAGCCCCACCTCCTTTGCTAATCAAATTTAGCACGCTCAGAGTTCCAAGAGCTCTTACGTTGAGCATTGTGTGTGGAAAGCTGAAACACAGTGGCAGGCAGCAGATTTCTCAAGTTTTAGATAAATGTGACAGAATTTCATCTAAATCAAAGGTCTACGGGTACCATCCGAAGAAGGTGGGTTGTGGTTCTTACTTTGTTTATATATGAAGCATCTTCTCCTTGTGAGTAGGTGATTGAGGTTATAGTCATCAGAGGTGGTGGATTGGGGTAAATAATTGTTGTATGTACTGTATAGATAACCTTACGGTAGTTTTGTATGTGTATGGTGGCAGCATTTTGTAGCCTCAAGTCTGTAGTATATGATATGGAGAACACAACTGAATTAGCTTTAGATTTTCTTCTGCATTTTGGTGAACAGCAAAATGTGTTTTCGCATTATTTCTGATCGTATCACAGTGCATGCATTATAGCGCCTAAGTTTTCAACATTGCCTGTCTATGACTGTTGGTTTAAATATTTGGTTTTGGGTTTTTTTCTACATAAGAAATTTATTTGACATTTGTCCTGATTAGCAAATTTACAGAGTGTCTTAGTGCATGAGGTTGCATCATTTTCACGCCAACAGAATGTTATGAACTGTGTATATGGGATTTTTTCAATACCACCACTACTACTACTTTTTAATTGGTTTGTTTGTTTGATATAATGTTTTAGATAATGTATGTATGTATGTACGTACGTATGCCTATTTTATATATTTTGCAGAGTTGGATCAACGGCTTACCCAAATCTTGAATGCTGCATATAACTAAAACAGTTTTCCTTAAAAGGGCATTCAGAAATAATATGCTGTAAACTGACCAATTTGTTTGCTTAATCGAGCTCAGTATTCCTTCTTTAAATCCATATTTTGATGTTTTGTGACTCTTTGAACGTGAACTGTGTAATATAAGGACCAAGTAACTGTGTTTACATGTTTACAAAGGTATTTATTTAATTAGGATAACAGAGGTGCAGATATCAGTAAGTGAAACTATCTGGTGGCAAACGCCACATTGACAGATAGCGCAACAGAGCATGTGCACATTCAGAGCTGTTGCGAAACACTTTTCCTCTATGGCCATTGATGGTGAAGAATGTTTTTCTCTCTAAGCTGTTTCAAAGTTGTTCAACGTCTGTTTGGTCCAGTCGTTATGATGATGTATACTGGATTTGGTGCTATTCGTAAGTAAAAAGAGAGTGTCAAACACATAAGATCTCAGCAATCGAGAACACTGAGCCATTTCCTTAGCGGGGTAAAGGTAATTTAGAGATCATGCTGATCTCAAATTGTGCGTAATATTTTCCAGGGGGGAAAATGGTTTCTGCTCAGCCATTTTTCCACAGAACCCTTTAGCTCCATGGCAAGGCAACAGAGCCAGACTTCTGCTGCTAGATGGAAAGCTTTGTTTTCTCTTTCCTCCAGCAATAGACAGGACTCCACATAATAAGCAGCAAAAGAACCCAAGCCATGCTGCTAAATGGAGCCAAATTTGAGAGCAGCAACCTCTCTCACACTGCAAGGGGAAAGACTGAGATCTACTCTCATTCCTGTGTGAGTTGAGCATTTCCATGTCTCCACATATACACATATGCTGCAGGGAATTGGTAAGGTCAGGAGGGAGTTAAGTACTGAGTTGCTACCTTGCCTCAGTCTCACTGATTGAGACTCATCCTGGTGAGAAAGTGTCGCTAACTGCTAACCTAAAACACATTGGATACTGCGCAGCAAAATTAGGGTCATCTTAGCATCCCTGCAACCCCCGAAACTCAGTTTGCAGCCTACAGATGAACACACCACTGTAAAAACTGAACATCTGCATTTCTAAATAGAAGTGTATCCGTCTATGATATCATTGTATGAGCTGTAAATGTTCAAAGCCTATCTTAGCATAAAACGGCATAGTCACTTATATGATTATTGTAACCAATGTATGACTGCTCAGTGGATGACTCAATATTGTGATATATCTATTTGACCCGCATAAATAAAGATTATTGCATACAATGCTTGTTTAAAGGCATGTGGTGGTGCTGCAACACACACACACACACACTCTCACACACAGACAGAGAGAGGGGGGAAAGAGAGAGAGAGAGAGAGAGAGAGAGAGAGAGAGAGAGAGAGAGGATAAAATAGGACATGCATCTTCTTACCATCCATTTTCACTCCAAGTTATTGTCTAACTTGGGCTTCAACCTGAAATGACAAGTCAGCTTGTACATGCATTATGTTTGGATTGGAAATAATGGGGGAAATTATGTTTTCTGTTGGATCAGCTTAACCTGATATGGGAATGTGCAACATAGTCTTGAGTATTCTTCTGCAACTTGATAGTCCTTCAGATATTTTGGACTACAGCTCACATCATCCTGTGATTCAAAGTATTGTAGAGTCACAGCACCTGCTGTGGCTGTAGAGGCCGATATTGGAGAGACATGTTTTGTTGTAGCTCTGCAGTATTCAGCTAAATAACTGTGTGAGCGGAACAACGTCCACTTGCATAATGGGACTGTCCCTCCTCTCCTCCCCGTACGCACACTGTGACTGTTCCAAACTTGCTCCAAGGGTTTGGGGAACACCTAGAACAGATGTTGGGGTACATGAGAGGGGGAGAGCATTGAACTGTACAAGGTGAAGTCCTTGTGCTGATAAAACCTGAGCGCTATGTTGAATTCCACCCCAAAACATCTGGAAGAGACTTGGTTGGGGAGAGTTTATGCAGCCGTTCATCATTACAGATGAGAAAGGTAGCAACATTTCAGGAATACAAGTTACAATGGCCTGAACAAATTTGTCTTGTTGGCAATGGGCTATTTGCAAAGCTGAGTGACAAATGACATTTGTATTGTAGGAAACATTCGACATTCACTGTCAGGGTGTTTGTTTTTGACATTTATAAACATCCCATTAAACAAAGTCATATGGGTGGCTCATAACACAATACCAAGCTACAATCAAAACATATATTAAAGTATACCACCTAGTGTTTTTTCTGTTAACCCCTCCCCCACTAAATCAGCAAAAAAACACACCATCAACAACACAAAACCAGCACAGAACAGCACAAAATCAATCTCAAATGGCCTAGAACCAGCACAGGGGGGAATCATTAGTGCCTAGAAGGAGAAATATGTAATCACATAATTAACATTCTTTCAAAATCCCTGATTTATGTGCTGTAAGCTGCCCAGAGTGGCTGGAGAAACATAGTCAGATGGGTGGGATATTATTATTATTATCATCATCATCGTCATCATCATCACCACCACCATCATCTGATTCTAAGGCATAAAAATGGGGGGAGGGGAGACTCTGCAGGATCAGATCAAAAGGATCCATCTTTTCCAACACCCTATTTTGAACCACAGCCAATGAAATGCCTGGCTGTGGCATTGAGAGTGTTGCAAGATTTCCTGTTTACCAACAGGAATCAATAAATTCTTGCTCTGGATTACCTTGAGACTAGAGTTCATAGACTGCCTAGCTTCACAGATATATTTTTCCTCCAGGAAACCTACACAGCACATTCGGAAAACAAACCCAGGAATTAAAGTTCACAAGGAGAAGAAGAAAGCACATAGCAGTCAGCCTTGTCTCTTGCGGTCTGGCAAAAGGGTGAAAACAGAGTGGTTGTACAGAGTGGTTGTAAAGAGGCATTGTAGGAAACAGATGGAAGGGGAGTTGAGCAGCTGATGGCTTGACACCTTCTGCAAAGCCCAAGATCTAGCATAAATGCCTCCTTTGCCATAAGGGCACATGCCAACCCTGAAGAAGGCACATCATTATGTATTTAGCAAAGAAGGGGAAGCAATGAATCATAGGCTATTTTCAATCTGTGCTGTTAAGGTTGTACTAGCTTTGCTGTCAGGAGGAGACTGGAGATATCACAATAAAAAAGGGTGATGAACCTCTTGCCGGAGGGCTTGCATGGTGACAAGAATGTAGAGGAATTCTCAACATGGACACATCATGTATCTTAATCTTATAAAGAACGCCAGAGATTTGTTGCCTTCTAACAACACTTTCTTTTAGGCAACTGGAGAAGACTCTTGGTTAGGAAAAACATAACATTTTGTTCTGATGTACCTCTGTCCTCTGTTAGTGAAGTTAACTCTTTATTCGAAGAAAACAAAACAGTGCCGGCCTAGTGATCACAGCAACTCTTCCCGTAGGTCTTGCCCCAATCAGACAGTTACAAGAACTGAAAACCCCTGCCTTCTCAACACTCTCTAAAGCTCCTGCCCTGGGTCCTTCCCCAGAAGCCGATGGCTCAATTGCCTTGTATCTCATTGCTCTACCTTCTTCATTCCTCTTTGTGTTGTGGGAGACCAGAGGGGAGGGGAGCTGGTCGCAGTAGGAGGGGGAGTTTCTCTGGCTTCTTCAGCAGCCTACCTCACCTCTGTCTCCTGGCTCCCTCCTCTCCTGCCTCTGAATCTGGACCGCTCTCTGCCCTAGCTTCTTCTTGCTCACTAAAACCTGTTGCCTTTTCAACTTCCAACACCTCCTCCCAGACTGCTCCCTCTTCTCCCTCTGACCACGCATTGTCGTCCCACCACCAATCCCCTGGCTCTGAGCCTTCATCCCTTGGGGATTCCCCAGCTTATGCCTCCCACCACTCCTCTGCATTCAGCCAGTCCATGACACCTAATCGGCAGGACCAACAGTTAAGGATGATGGGAAGTGTAGTTCAACATCTGGACATTCAATAGATTCCTCACCCCTGGTCAGTATATTTGGCTAGCATAGTAATAACTAGCCAAAGGGCTCTGCAACTCATAGATACAAGGCAAAGGCCAAACCACATATGACACTAAATGCACCTCTATAAACACTTACCACCTCATCCTGCGCTGCTTGGCACAATGGGCACTAATAGCAGCACAGGAGACAATTTCCATTGAGATCACAGAGAGGGAAGGTGTAAGGTCCACTGAGCATGCCATCATGACCAGGGGTCAGCAAACTTTTTCAGCAGTGGGCCGGTCCACTATCCCTCAGACCTTGGGGGGGGGACTATATTGGGGGGGGGATGAACAAATTCTTATGCCCCGCAAATAACCCAGAGATGCATTTTAAATAAAAGGACACATTCTACTCATGTAAAAACACGCTGATTCCAGGACCATCCATGGGCCGGATTTAGAAGGTAATTGGGCCAGATCTGGCCCCTGGGCCTTAGGTTGCCTACCCCTGATCATGACTATGGTCCCAATATATCCCTGACATGCTTTGTCTTAGGACACATTTAGTTGGCCCTAAGTGGAAACTTTGCACCTTGAGTCTTTGATGTAGCCCAAGCTATAAATCTAAGCAAATGCATGCTCAAACAGTTCTGTTTCTGTACTATGGTTTGCACTACCTTGCAAATGACAGACTTTTAGTAACGACATTCTAGAACAATGCATAGGGCACCACAAACTATAGCAGCTTGGTAGTAGTTTATTGCATTGCTGCCCCAAGCAAGCTTACTCAGCAGCAAGTCATGCTGCGTTCAGTAGACCTTACTCCCAGGATAGGTAAAAAAGGTAAAGGACCCCTGGATGGTTAAGTCCAGTCAAAGGCGACTATGGGGTTATGGTGCTCATCTCACTTTCTGGTGTTTGTACAGCTTTCCCGGTCACGTGGCCAGCAGGACTAAACCGCTTCTGGCGCAATGGAACACCGTGACTGAAGTCAGAGCACACGGAAACACCGTTTAGCTTCCCACCACAGCGGCACCTATTTATCTACTTGAACTGGTGTGCTTTCGAACTGCTAGGTTGGCAGGAGCTGGGACAGAGCAACGAGAACTCACTCCGTCGTGGGGATTCGAGCCGCCAACCTCCCAGTCGGCAAGCCCAAGAGGCTAAGTGCTTTAGACCACAGTGCCACCCACGTCCCTTATATCTCCCAGGATAACCATGCATGGACTTGTAGCCCTGTTATTTAACCCTTTCCCTTATTAATGGAATAGCTACAATCTGTGTTCAGATGAATAGCGCAGTTAGCTATTCATCAGTAAATTAATATCAATGAAGTCGGTCATTATTTTATCAGCAGGTACCACTGCACACACACACACACACACACACACACACACACACACACACACCCTGATGAATTCCTACTCTGCATCACAAAGTATTGCTTGAATTGCAGGATGGTTCTGAATTATTCTTAGCAGGGCCTCTGATATATTGATGAAAAGAGGCTGCATGCGACATTTATTCCATCTGCCTTGTCTTTGCCACCTACCGTTATCACTCATATAACTCTGCTTTTCCAATCTTTGCTTGCTCCCTAAATGATTTAATCTAAGCTACAAATGTCGTTTCTCTCATTAGACAAGAGGGGACGCAGATTGCCACTTGGGGAATTTGAAACAGGGACCTGCAGCCATTTACAGGATCCCTGGCAAGCATTCCTGTATGATAAAATACCACACACACACCCAACATGTGAACTGGCCCTACATCTCTATAATTAGTTCCTTCCTGGAGCTTTAAACTACAATCCTATATCCACTTACCTGGGAGTAAGTCCCTCTGAACTCAACGAATTCAATTGCTTCTGAGTATAGGATCATGCTGGTAACCACCTTAATTGAAATCCATCATTACTAGATGGTATCTTCAGCGACACCTCAGCATGACAGAATAGATACTCATTCGTTTGTTACCAGATAAACTCTGTATGCTCTTTCAGCTGGGATGAACATAAGGACATAAGAAGCACCTTGCTGGATCAGGCCAAAGAATCATCTAGCCCAGTGTCCTGGTCTCAAAGTGGCCAACCAGAAGCCTACAGGACCTGAGTGCAACAGCACACTCCCCACTTGCAATTTCCAGCAAGCAGAATTCAGAGGCACCACTGCCCCCCACAGGACATCTGTTTTTTATTCAATATTCACAGAGAGAGGCTTGGGAATGCAGCCTCTAGGAATAATGGCGTTGTCCTGAGTGAGTCTCCACCCCCCCCCCTGTGTATTGGTGCAGGTGTTGAAAAGTGTCCTCTGCCTTTGAGCT